ACACACACACACACATATATATACACGCACACACACACATAGACACAAAAAAGAATGCTTCTTGCATGGGGACAGTTAATGTCACTTTATGTCAGAGTACCAGCAAGAACTTAAAACTACGTTCACCACTATAGAAAGATAGATAGAAAGATAGATAGATAAAATAAAGTCCAAACAGTAAAACCGCAATAGCTTGTTTTTTAACCACAACAGCTGAAGCCGCTGTAGACGGTCTGCCCATAATCATGCCCAAACTGACCCAAACTGAATATAATGGAGTCTTGCTCATGGAGAAGGGGCTTATGTTCCCTAGTATGTTCCCCAGTACATATGCTTCCTAGTACCTATGTTCCCCTAGTACCTATGTTCCCTAGTACCTATGTTCCCTAGTACCTATGTTCCCTAGTACCCATGTTCCCTAGTACCCATGTTCCCTAGTACCCATGTTCCCCAGTACCTATGTTCCCTTGTATCCATGTTCCCTAGTACCTATGCCCTCTAGTACCTATGTTCCCTGGTACCTATGTTATATAGTACCTATGTTCCCTAGTAACTATGTTCTCTGTCTCCTATGTTTCTTATGGAACACAAGTGCTAGGGACCTCAGGGATYCAAGGAAACACAGATTGGTGTATTGGAGGGAACACGGGTACCAGGAATGACCATAAAATGATGTGATGCTAAGTCATTTTTAAGATGCTAAGTCCTAATGTTGAGCTACTATGTCCTAACCATGAGCTACTAAATCAAAGTTATAAGATAGTATTTCACAGGTATGGCTTAATTTAGAATTTTTTAATCAAAGTGGCCAAAATGGACTTCCACAAACCCCCATGTGTTAACTTATTTCCAATCATTTCATTCTACACTTGTGTTTTGTGTGTGTGTGTGTCTGCTTTTTATTTATTTATTCATTTATTTATTTTGTCTTTAGCACAGCTGGAATCTTTCCATAGAATTGGTCATTGGCTCAGACGGGATCAGTCAACAAACTGAGAACTCTACAGTGAGTTTCTGTTTCTCTCAGTTTTTACAATTTGTTTTAGAACCTCTATCATGTGTCAGAGTAAGCAAGTGTTGCATTGTACCTCTGCATTTTAATGTAAAGTTTCTTATCTCTTCTGCAGCCAGTCTGTCTAGCCAAGTTTTCTCAGGTCCGAAGCATCTCCAGCACTTCAGAAAGTGATGGCCGTGCCCTTCTCACTGTGCACATAGAGGGAGCCAAACAGGTACCGCCCTACTTCCTGTGTTTGTTTTGTAGCAAGAACATAACAACCAGTTCAGCTGATGTGCACAGATCGGTTGCAAAGTTACAAGGCTATAAGTCTGCTTCCTATGAGGCCTACTTTCAAAATAAAACTTTTTTTTCCTTTTCTTTTTCTTCCTGTTTTGCCTTCATTCCTTATTTGCCTTTTGACTGCCTRGAGGTCAGATGATCACTCAGTACTCAAAATTTTGCCCATTGACCTTTTTACATTTACTAATATGCATGCCCAGTTAGTCACTTGCATTGCATTGTGATCAAAATAGTTTCATGCCTGCTTCCGGTTCATTGAAATACATACACTTAATCTAAACATTCATGTCTACTTATATTTCAGCTGTGCTCTGCATTCTAACAACCCACAACAGTATAMGTTGAGGACATTTCGCCATCACARCAATATTACTGTAAATACTTTTGTAAATAAAAGTCAATAGAACATGGGATAGRATGCTTAGATCCTATTTGAGGATGTGGTGACTGACCTTAAGCATGCTCATTAGTAATTATAAAATGGTAAGTTAATTAGCTGACCAATCAGAGGAGGCTGGGCCTTAAAGAGGCTGGATTTAAACTAGCACAAAACTAGAAGCASTTCTCCACCAAAACACTGGGTTATGCAAAAGAGAGTGTGCAGCTGCTGAGCTGTGATTGCTGGAACAAAGTTCTGCTGTATACTGATTGGATATTTAAGCTTCAGTTTCTGTTTGCACCAAGGTTTTATGATTTGTTCTTTTTTGACAACCCCAAACTGCCCTGAAAATTTCTTGAAAATCCACCCAYAACCTTATGAGTAATCTTGTGCACAGACAGACCGACAGATCAACGGTGCCAAAAACCTTACTACTTTGGCGGAGGTGGGAAAAAAAAGGCACAAAGTTTAGAAGATCTGCAAACACTGATCATTTTTATACSTTCAATCCTCCAGCCTCTCGCAGTCAGCACTTCCTCTCTGGCCGTTGCAGAGAACATGGCCGATCTGATCGACGGCTACTGTCGACTAGAAGGATGCACCAAGAATTCTCTCATAATCGGGCCCGGCAAAGGTACAGAGTCAATAAAGTATCAACAGACAAAAAAATAACAAAATAAAACATAAATGTTCATTTGAATTGAAGTTACATTGCACATTAATATCTTTATGATTTAGCAATATTTGGTTTACTATTTACTATACTAAGGGAAATAAACTGAAAGTAGCTGTAAAACAGAAACAGGAAGTAAATAACGTAAAGATAAACAGTGTCAAARTAAAACAGGAAGCGGGGTTCCTAAAAGATGCAGCATTTTTAACAGACTGACAGAAGAACCAACAAAATATATACTGTTACAGAAGAAGTGTATTAAAAGATACAAAAGTTTTACCAGGTTTATGAAAAATTAATAAATAAAATACTTTTAACACATTTTTTTCAGGGAGAGACACACGGCAAAAGCTTCCTGACTTACCACAGTGGTGAGTTTGATGAGTCATATTGACTTTAYGTTTTTAAATGTTTTTTCCCGCAATGCATATAAATTATAAACTGTGTGTGTGGTGGTTATTATTATGCAAGTTTAATGTTTCTACACTTTRTTTTCCTTCTTCTTCTTTAGCAACTCTTTTACTAAAATAACAATAAGTGATCTGTGCAGTAGYCGGGTTATTATTGGCTGCTTTTGTGAAATTAATTTAACATATTTTTCATTTCTTCCAGTGCTGCTTCCAGTTGTTCTTTTAAAAGTTTAAGTAAGTTTGTTTACTTATTTATRCACTCCACAAAAATATRAAYGCAGCACKTTTGTTTTTGCTCCCATTTTCATGAGTATAACTCAAAGATCTAAGACTTTTTCAATGCACACAATAGACCTTCTTCCTTCAAATATTGTTCAGAAATTTGTGTAAATCTGTGTTGGGGGCACAGCATGATTATTGCACAGGTGTGCCTTAGGCTGGGCCAACAGCTAGTGAAGAGGAGTGGACCAACATTCCACAGGCCACGATCAACAACCTGATCAATTTTATGCGAAGGAGATGTGTTGCACTGTGTGAGGCAAATAATGGTCAAAGATACTGACTGGTTTTCAGACTTCCCCAATAAACAAAAACAGCACATTTCAGTGTGGTCTTTTATTGTGGCCAGCCTAAGGCACATCTGTGCAATTGATCATTCTGTCTAATCACCATCTTGATATGCCACACATGCAAGATGGGATGGATTATCTCTGCAAAGGAGAAGTACCCCCTAACACACAACTTTCTGAACAGTATTTGAAGGACGGACTATTGTGTAGGTAAAGTCTTAGATCTTTGAGTTCAACTTGTGAAAAATGGGAGCAAAAACAAAAGTGATGAATTTATATTTTTGTTCAATGGAACAAATACCTCCAATACAGACCTTTTAGATTAGTTCCCAGCTTTAAAAAGAACCTATTCTTGTAGGATGATGAATTGAATATATTAAGCAAATCTACAAATCTTTCAGACGCTGATATTTATGCTGAGATTCCTGAAAACACAGCACTTTATGATGGTGAGCATAAACCACCAATTAATCTGTACAATGCTACAAACACATTTTAAACCCAATTATTRATTAAAATTTTCTGCTTGTTTCATGTTGATCCTCAAATATGGGGTGAAAATGACTAAAATAAGTTTTGTTCTTCAGGTTGCTCAGCTGCATCTTCTGTTTTATTTTGAAATTTGTTTGATAATTTGAACTTTTATTGTCTAGATAAACATGCGATCTCCAGAGATGACATAGTCGTGGGTCGGATCCTCGGTGAGGGATTCTTCGGAGAAGTTCATGAGGGAGTTTATAAAAGCCCGGTGAGATTTTGTTAGACTAAGGTATCATCAAAGAACTTATATTCATTAAAGCAGAAGTGTAAAGCAGAAGTGTGTCCATTTGCTTGGACCATGCTCATGTGTCAAGACTATACAGCAACAAAGACTGGTCTGGTCAAAGTCCAGACAACCTGATTGTAATGCTGTGGTGGAACCTGAAGAGAGCTGAGCAGAACAAATGTTTGCAAACATCAGTGTTGCAACGATGCATCAGCTGATGCAACGATGAAAAAAAAAGTTTGGGCCAGAAATTTTTCAGCAACCAACTGAGGCTACAAGCCGTTACACTTTTCACTCACAGTTTCCCAATTTTTGCTTTTGTTTATTATATAATGACACCGTCCTTTGTGTGTGTTCACTTCAGGTTAGATTTGAAACCTTTTTAGATCCTGGTAAAAACCATATTGTTATATTATGCTCTGATAAAACCCCAGAATAGAAAGAGGGTTAAATTCCTTTTTTCCCCCCACGACTATTGTTCTAACAGCAAAACTCTCACACGCTTACACCAGCTATGCAGAGTGGGTGATAGAGATGTCTGTGTGTGTGTGTTTGCAGAGCGGGGAGAGAATCAGCGTGGCCATCAAAACCTGTAAAGACTGCTCAGCTGACGTGAAGGAGAAGTTTCTCAGTGAAGCTGGTGAGTTTCTGCGGGCTGCTGCAGTGACTGTTTCCTGCTGAAACATCATTCAGACCAAGTCTCTGCAGGAAGGTGGTTGATGTGATGCTAAAAGCCAAAGAACTAACAATGTGGAACTTTCATTTACTGTTTTCACATTGAAAATAGGATCTTTAGTCATGGTAACATGGAGTGGAAATAGATCTGAGGAAATTAATAAAACAGAAATGTGCTTCAGTGGCTCTTTTAGAGGTCAGAGTTCTGCTGCAGCAAACTTCCTGATGTCAGACATGTGGCTTTGTAGAAACACAGCTCAAAGTGAAACCTGTGGTGATGGCAGCAAATTTTTATCTTTATAACCAGATCACCTCTTCGACAGACAATTTGTCATTTAGGATTTTTTGTTGTTGTTTCTCTCATGGACTGTTTTTTTTAATTAACTCCTTGGTAAGACAAGAATCCTCCAACCACAGTGGTTCGCTTGTCAATAAATAACTCCTCCACATACTGGGGTTTGTTTGGGGACCGTCAATAAATTACTCCTCCATGCAATAGTTCACTTAGAACCTGAAAGACACTTTACAGCTTCATTCATCATTCATTCACACGCTGATGATGGCACACAATGTTTTCAACATTTGACCAAAGAGGGTTACAGTCTACCAGCCTACATGTCCATAAAGTAAAAAAAACAACAAACACTTTTAACAAATTTGATGCAACTAAATTGTGATTCTCGGTTCGTTGCAGATCTGATGAAAAATCTGGATCACCCTAACATCATACGTCTCATTGGAGTCATTGAGGTTGATCCTGTTTGGATTGTCATGGAGCTCTATGAGCACGGAGAGGTTGGTTTGATTCATTTATAAACTAATCAGTAGATATAAAGATGAGACAAATAGCCTAAGATTTTTTTTTTAAATTAAAGTAGATGTTTTTGTCTTTCTGAAAGTTGGGGAACTACCTTGTGGAGCATCAGTCCACTCTGACAACATCAAAGTTGACTAAGTTCTGTCTACAAATCTGCAAAGCCCTRGCTTACCTGGAAGGACTCAGCATGGTGCACAGGTAACACAGCTTATTATTACTGAAAATCAAAGSCCATGTCTGTGATAGGGTATTCCTACTGAAAGGGGCATTACAGTTCAAATTTACAATTTGTAAATGGGAATTCACACTTACACGTACAACTGGGCCACAGCAAAAATAACAGTCTAATGTGCATCTATGTAGATTTTACACAGTGAATTTTGCTGGCTACCAGCTGGCTTTAAAGCAGTTTATTATGAGATGTTAATACATGGCTATTTGATGCCAYGGTGGATCAGTTGGTAGAGCTGATGCCTCTCAGCAAGAAGGTCACCRGATCAAATCCCGGCCTGGGGACCTTTYTGGGTAGAGTTTGAATGTTCTCTCTGTGCATGTGTGGGTTTTCTCTRGGTGAATGAATGTTAGGTTAAAYARTAACTCTAAATTGTCCCTAGGTGTGAGTAAAAGAGTGAATGGTTGGTTGTCTCATTAGTCTGCATGTGTCTCTTTGATGGACTTGCGACATGTCCAGAGTGTACCCCATCCCTTGCAAAGTGACTGCTGGATAAGGGCACTAGTGACCCCCGTGACCCTGAAAGGAAGAAGCGGGTATTGATAATGGATTGATGGATGAATGAAATACAGGGCTATTCAAGTAAATTGTCCAGGGGTCCACAATTACTCAACGCCAACAGCTCAGGGACCAGAATATTATTATTATCCTTAACCYTTTAAATTTATTTTATTGCATTGTTCATTTAAAAACCACCAAAACATTCTTCTATAAATCAGGATACATCTGTGAAAGACACTACATAAATAAACTCTACTTAATATTATTTTGGAGAAATGTATAATTGTCAATATGTGTCTGTTTTCGATGGAACCGATCATCTGTATCATCTTGTTCTTTGTGTTTTTTCTGCTTGTCCTGCAGAGACATAGCAGTTAGAAATGTCCTGGTGGCCTCYCCTGAAAGCGTCCGGCTCGGTGACTTTGGTCTGTCTCGTTATGTCGATGAACAAGAATATTATAAAGGTACACACACACAAGAACACACACTAAATGCCTACAGCATACATTTACATGTTGCCTATTTTCTGCAAGAGAAAAGATGTGTATTAGCTTTTTGTTTGAGACAKTTTTCTTGACTTCCTGTGTTCAGCCACACTTAGTCGATTACCAATCAAATGGATGGCGCCTGAATCCATCAACTTCAGACGTTTCACCACAGCCAGTGATGTCTGGATGTTTGGTGAGAAATCCTCTTCATTTTATATCAACATGTGCAGATCCTTTTGAAGGGTGGCTGCTTTGTTTCCCCGATGTATAACTGGTCACAGTCCTCCTGGCATTTAAGAGCCTACATAACATTATTCTGTGCCGGGGGGACGGATCTTTGGTGTGAACCAGTGTGGAGGCAGTGCTTATAAAGCTGAGTTTACCTGAAACGTCTCAGACTGAAGAAGTGTCTTGGAGCAGAGATGAAACGTTTCCTTAAAGAAGAACCCGTGCAGAAGATCTAGTTAAAGTTTTTTTCTACCTGAATTACTGAGATGCATCAGGACAGGGCTGGACTCAGTTTTCCATTCACTGCTTCATCATTTTTGGGAAAGTATTTCTTAGACTGTGGTGTGGTGAAATGTGACGCCCAGCAGACATKACCTCACCCAATGAGAATCAGATAAATATGTAGTAACTTCTTGCCATGACTGCATTTTGTGTCCTATCTATGACATGGACATCATCCAAACAGCAAAGACAATGTGGGTCAGCCATGTTTGTGTTGTTGGACCAGGTGTGTGTGTTTGGGAGATCTTCTCTGTGGCTCAGCAGCCATTCTTCTGGCTGGAGAACAGGCAGGTRATCAACCAGCTGGAGTCAGGAGTTCGTCTCCACAAACCGCAGCGCTGCCCCCCCACCATATACACCCTGCTTACCCGCTGCTGGGCCTATGAGCCGCAAGGACGGCCTTCCTTCAGGGACCTCGTCTGCTCCTTCAGGTACACATCTCCATGTCTGCAGATAGACTGTGTTTTAGAAACACTGACACCATGTCCTCCACGTTTTACAGCGAGATCCACCGAATGGAATTGGAGCAGGAGAATGATATACGGCGAGGAAGATCCCACTCCGTTCCATCTATCTTTGATCCCAATCTCATTGAGCCTCCACCGAAGGTACCACACTCGATGAGTTCAGCTTACAGTACATACATGTCAACCCACTGTTTCGCAATCAAGTGTAAAGCTGATTGTGGTTGCAGTACCACTCATGGCCACTAGTTGGTGGTTAATCAAAAACTGGAAATGTTACTGAAGAAAATGGAGGAAAAAATGATTCTTCTAATTATAAAATACTTGTTTTCTTTGAGAAAAATGATGTAAACATAGGGGGAAAAATAAACTATTCTCTAGATGGAGAATGATGATTTAATTACATGCTTGTGTTTTATTTAGCATCATTTATAATGCCTTTTTTTATTTATAAGCTACAGTACATCCTGGCATTTATAGAGGATTCATATAAACAGTCTGTTTTATTTCACCACAATAATAAGTGAAATGTCTAACATTATTTTAAGAAACTGCATGTTGCTCAACGACTTTTATGGCAAAATGTTATGCTAAGCTTGTTGAATTATAGTTGTTCTCATCAAACCCTGTAAATGATATGCACCAAATTAGGTGATAGTGCAAGATCTGCTAGAGCTTAGAGTATGATATGTAAATCACTCTCAGCTACTAACACACCAAGTTTTAGCTCAATATCTGTAACTGTTACAGAGGTAAAGGCATTTTTGTATTATCTAAAGTTGATTAGCTGTGCCGGCCATCTTAAATGGTGTTGACTCCGAAAGTTAATCAGCTGTAGATGTACATCCAATAATTGCCTATATGCCACGGAYATGCGGCCCAGCACTGGATGCCACTCCGATCACTTCCGGTTCGCGCTCAACACAGTGTTCGCAAAAGATTTTTTTCACCCGACGACGACTTTTAATGATCTCCATAGTACAGAATCAGCATATTACATGTACCAACATTAATATAGGAGACATACAGGTCCAGCCAAGTGGGAAACAAATCACTCCAAAGTGGATTAAAGCCATAAAAACAAAGGAAAGACATTCATGTTTATGGTTCCAGAATTTAGCCTTTTTCACTACTCCTTGGCTGCTTGTTCTGTGAATTTTTCACGTAGAGCTGTGACACTTATRTTGTTGGAAAGAGCAGAGTCTGGGCTTTAAATTGATGGGCTACTTGTGTGGTTTGGATTGTTTTCCCCAACGTTAGTGAACTGAAAACGTAATGATTATCAGGTGGAGGTTCTGCAGCTCTCGGTACTCGAGGGGAGGGGGGCGTKTYSGTCGCTCGYGTTTTGTTTACGCTGTAATATACACKCTAACAAGTTTTTACTTTTGCATGAAACTCATGACAAAGTTTCCTAAAAACATTTCATACTCTGTATAACACACACACACACACCTACCTTTGTACCGGCTGCTGTGTTAGCTTCCTCCTAGCTGCGGTGTGGAGGGGGTCTTTCCTCTCTCGTCTTGACAATAAAAGGGGATAATTGTACATCTCCCATTTGTAACCTCTGTCTTCTCATTTCTGATGCTGGCTCTTGAATATCCTCAGGTTAGAAATGCCGATCACAAATGCAAACGTGAGCTAGGTTTTCCCTGTATAGCTAWGATCCACYGCTGTCACCTTTACTCCTCATCAAGATGAAAATGGAGAAAAACTACTCTATTGTACCTGCTGGTTAGTGGACACAACGGCACACAACAGAACTCACGTTTTATACCAGTRGATCACAGATGCTTCAACTTTTGTGACTTTTTCACAGAGTAGTATTAGGAGCTTACGCTAAAAACAAAGGCAGTAAGCAGGGAGTGGAAGGGAGGAGTGTGGCAAAAATTTTACCGGAAATACGTCGTTAATGACCGTGGCATATAGGCTATTACTTCCTGAAAATTTCATTAAAATCCATCATGTGGTTTGAGATATTTTGCTAACAGACAGCCTAACAAATGCACACAGACAAGAGTGATAGTTAAAGTAGGTTTTATTTCCTTTTAACTTTTAACAAACTTGTCTTCTCTGTTTCTCCCTCATCAGCCCTCCAGGGTTAATGTCCACACGCTCTACAAACCCAACCACAGAAAGGTGTCGAAACACACACACACACACACACACACACACACACACACACACACACACAC